ACAGTTTCACACCAAGCAAACCTTCTATGGGAGGGCATTCCAATGTTATTGTGTCACCACAAAAAATACCACTTTTGTAGATGATTGGTTCATTTCTCTTATGAAGCCACACAGAGGAAATACCTCCCCGGTGAATCAATGCACAGGAAGACTATGAAAGGAGGAGGTGCTCTGATATTCAGGTCCCAAGATGTTTATCATTTAAAGATAGGCACCAGCACTTTAAAGTGGACTCAGCCACAAAAACAAACAAACACCAATGCTCACTTATGTGCTCAACATCATTGAGAAGCTGGCCCAAAACAAGCCACTTTCCCCCACCCCTGTCAGCCTCATTAGAAATGTATCATGATAAGTGAGGGAACACCTGCCAACATTTGCAGCATGGATGTGAGCTTCCAGCCTTGTTGACTTAACAGGTCCAACTTGTGATGTTTCTGCAGCTTCCTCATTCAGAGGCACATGAGCCCAGAATGGCAGGCCAACAACAGATGCTCCCATGCTGCTTCATGCGTGCGTGTCTCTGTGTGTGCATCGTGCATGAATAATGTGTGCTGATGCAATCGCAGTGTAGGCGATTTAGCAAACTGCCCTTCACTGGAAACATATTATTTCCCTCAAGGAGAAGTCTTGAAATCTTGAATGAAAAGAGAAAAAAGAAAAGAAAGCTAACCCATAGGCCTCTGTCAGATGAGATGACAGAAGTCTATGCATGAAAGATGACATTGCTAGAAGGGACTTCCAGGGGTAACTTCTCGGGGCCTTTCATTAGAGCTGCTGCCTCTAAGCAGGGCAGGAAAGGGGATCAGAGAACTGAACCAACTATCTCATTTTCAATATTTTAAGACTAAAGTGTGGAGAGGAAGACACTAAGAACCTTGGCTGTGCTGCTGATTAATTTCCACAAGGCCAGGCGATTTCATCGAAGTTTCAACAGTGTCACTTATTTTTGTAATGTCTTTTGCTGGAGCTTTTCTTAAGCCTCAGAAAAGAACTTTTGTGTTTCAAAGCAACACGAAATGGCAATTTGTTCATCCTATTGCAGTTCTGCCTCTGAAGTGTAAATGTTTGTCCAAGCATTAGACCTGGGAGAGGGGGACGGGAAGAGAGAGAAAGAGATATAAAGCAACAAGAACAGAACAACTTTTCCTCCCAGCAAGGGTTGCGGGGAGGCAAATCACCCAGGAGAAAAGGGGTACTCCTGGGACTTGACTTTACTAGCTAAAGGTATTGGCACAGGCGCTTTTAATTACAAGGAAATATGTTCCAGGGTTTCATCTGCCAAGAACGCTTTTTACTTTAACAAATTGTCAAGGACTAACTGGATGCAACCTAGATTTCAGCAAGCTTCACATGGTATAAGATACAACATGTTTCCCAAGAAAGTCTATAATGGTGTAAGTTACATGTGTTTTTTTCAGTTTTTTACATATTTCACAGACTTTTATATTTATTCCTTTTACACACGAACACACACACAGTTTATAAACGACTATTGCATTGCCACAGCTTGGAAGCAAGGAGTGACATGTAACATATGCTGATACTCTATTTGGTGGTTGCACTGTATATATTAATGTTAGCACAGCTATGCTACAGTACTGAATTGTGCCATCACAACCGATTACACAACGTATGGTAAGACCGTGCACACTTCTGCTGTGAAATAGTACAATCCAACTTCCTACCTACTGCTAAAGAATCACCTATAAAATGGTTGATGCTACTATCACAGGGCTGGCACAACTCTGAACAGGATTACCGACCTTGTGCGACCGCTAATAAAACAGAACTATTTACATAACAGCATGTTCACCAATGCAAAACCATAGCTGGATCATGGTTACATCTACCTGTAACAAGTTACCATTTGGGGCATTTCAAGTTAACAAGTAGGAATGAAGTTATTTTGCTGTCATTATGAATAACAACATTTTCTAGTACTTAAAATTTACTTTGAAAGTGTATTTAAGTATTTGACAGGAATTTTTCAGTTTTTACAGCATTATCTAACCTTGTCCCACCCAAAAAAGTAATGGAAAAATAACCAAAAAAGTAACTGGAAACCCACTGAGTAATGTAACAAGTCTTTTTTTTTTAAAGCATTGCAATGAGGAATGGCAATGAATAATTTTTAAAAATAACTATAGTGAATAACAAGAACATATTACTGTTAAAACTAACTTGCCATGGTCTGTGCATTGCTTAAAAAACTGTTCCTGTGAGCTGGGTGTGACCATATATTTCTTCATCTAAACAGGGAACCTGCAGTGACATTGGGTGATTTTCTTGTCAATGGGGTGGCAAATCTATTCCAGGTCTTAGGCCAAAGAGTCTTCAATAGACTTTACTTTCTAATAAGTGGGGTCAGGACTCCAGCTGAAGTTCTTGATGGCTGCATTTCAGTTGTGAGATCCTATTTCCCTGGACACTCGCAATAAACCTGAACATCTTTTGGATGCAAAGGTTAAAAAAAAATCTGCCTAGTCTGTCACTGTCTGCAGCTTAAATGGCTCGGTTAATTTACACAAATTATTTCTCAAGGCAGAAGTAATTAATACCTTGCTGAGACATTTTCTACCTCTGCTATGGATGGATAAGAATTACACCTCGGTTCTGTGCAGCCTCTGGCATTTGTTTGTACTGCATCAAGGAATGGAAAAAATACTAGAAAGTTTCTCAAAATAAGAACATTTGTCTCTTAGAGGTATCATGGAATAAACTCTGGGAAAAGAACCAAGGTAAGTAATTAGACTGGCTGCATTCCATGTTTAAGATACTTTTTCTAGGCCACAGAATGTTGGCCCTTTCTTTGGAGAGATGGGTTTTCTGGACTACCATTCACCCCTTCAAAAAGTTTACATGGTGAATGGGTTAGTACTCATATCAACACAAAATGCATTTTGCTTGCCTTTTATTTGTGTACTTATTGTGAACTACAGGAATTTAAAGATAATTTTTGTTTGCTCAGCTGTTCTCTGTCAAAGGCAGCTCCAAGTGTACCATTGCCAGTGGTAGTGCTTGAAAAAGTTACTTTTTTGGAGGGCAATTTGCCAGAATCCCACCGGAGGAGTTATAGTCCAGCAAGTAACTTTTTCAGCCTTCATATAACAATGTCTTTGAAGTGGAACTGAGCAGAAAGGATTGCCCATACACATCTTTCTGTGCTTAGAAGCTGCTTGCATCCTTTACTTAGCATCAATATTTGTCCATCCAATTATTACCCTTGTCCTCCAGGTTGGTCCCAGCTTCTATTCTTCAGTGGGTTCCCCTCACTTTTGTCCACTCTCCCTGTCACCTTCACCCCTGCCCATTTGCTCATTCTCTTCCTCTGGACCTGTATCTAGACTAGCAAGAACATTTTCCTACCACAGTCTCTGAGATGAACATCTAGCACTGCAGCCTGAAAGTAATGCCATCCATAGTCTATCGAGCAAATCACAATTTTTTTTAGAAAACTAGGTCCAGATGCTTTATGACTCTGCATAGACACTATAAAAGAGATGGATAGTTCTAACTGGGCAAAGCACTGTGAAAGAGCTGCAGTTTAGGATTCATAATGCAGAACAAGACATTCTGATATGGTGCTAGCTTATCTAATGTTTGGGGATGCTACTGAACTAAATTATATGATGGAGTTTTTTTTAGTGTAACCTGCTTTGGGTCTCATGCTGGGAGAAAGGCAAGATATTAACTAACTAACTAAAAAGATCACACAGGTACTGCTGCACCCAGCAGTAGAGAGCCAGCGTGATGTAGTGGCTTGAGTGTTGGATTATGACTCTGGAGATCAGGGTTTGAATCCCTGCTCAACCATGGAAACTCACCAGGTGACCTTGGACAAATCACATACTCTCAGCCCCTCCCTCAAATTTCATGATAGGTTAACCTTGGGGTCATCAGAAGTCAGAAGCAATTTCAAGGCACACAACAACTGTTGAAGCAGGTCTCCATTATCTTTTTCATCTGAATACTCACAGGAAGCTGCCTTATGAAATACCATACTATTTTGTACATCTTCCCCAACACTGTTAAATTTCTACTTGGCAATAGCCTTCCGAGGTCTTAGATTTCCCCCCATCACATTCTTTTTGATCCTTTCAACTGGCAATGAATCCTGGGAACCTTTATGTGCAGAACACATAGAGCATGAGCACAGAGCACAAAGAACACTTGAGCTATGGGCCTTCCAAGTGCTTTGAGGCATACAGTCTTTGCAGGCTACTTTGGGCTATGTTCCGGCCTGACGTTGCTGGACCAAGCCCTGATGTCCTTATCATGCAGAAACCATGTTTTAAGCACAGAAGTAATCTTCTGCAATGCAGCTGTCAGGAGAGGCAGACACAGACAGAAACTAATTAGTTTTTATGCTTTCAGGTCTAATTAGAAAGCATGCATGAGTACAAATACAATTTCAGCGCTGGCCCTACCACATGCCGTACCATGTCCTACCCTATAGTTATGCCCTCAGTTTTTGCTGAAGACAATGTCTTGGTGACCTGATTGAATGAAAGCAGCATATTTGCCCTGAATCACCGTGGAACAGTCAATGCAATAATGGGATGTGTGTGTACCCTACTTCCTCGGAAACAGTTGCAGCTAGGGACTTCCATGTCAGTGAGGCAGTGAATCTACAGTAGATTTTAGTTTGAATTTTAAAGGAATTGTCAAGGTACTACATTCTACTTCTAAAACAGGTTCAGTGCCTTAGATAACTCATTTAAAACTGAGGCTTTCTCTGCACAGGCAAAAATAAAAAATCCATGCTGACCCCAACAGCGGTGCTGTTTTCATGATGCATGGTGACTTCTGGTAAAATACCGTAAGTTTTCTTAGTTATCTTCCCTACA